GCCTTCCCGGTAGCCACTGCCTTGCCACGCGCCTTGCCCTGAGAAGGCGTAGAAGAACCGGCACCAACTCCCCCAGCCATGGAAAAGACAAGAAAAACCGGGAAGAAGAGAAAAGAAGACAGTAAAAAGGAAGTACCTGGTACTCCTCTTCAGAAAATAACCCTAACAACGAAGGGGTTACCGGAAACGGTGACTAAAACGGAGAAAACGGAGACAGAGGATGGACGAAAACGAGAGAAGCGGCGTACACAAGAAGTTGAAGAAAGAGTAAAGTGAAGAAGGCAAAGAGGCGCGAGTGAGAGAAAAGAAAGTCTTCTCCCAAAAATTCAAAACGGCCGCTCCACGTGTCAACTCAAGGGCACACCTGACAACACAATCAATTGCAAATTCATCATTACATAACCGTCATTTCCCATGACACGCCACTTACGCGTTCCTGGGAAATGAACGGCCGCGACACATGTCGCCTCAACGAGCAAGCATACGCGAGAGGTCATCTCCCCCCAGCAAGCTCGGCCTTCAACTCCTCGACCTACAGTCTTCGGAGCTCGGGGGGCTAGTGTACTGTTTGTACTGCGTAACCGAGCTCCAAGCTCGGCACCACAATGCAAGCCGACCTCGAATGCGCGCCGCGTGACATCATCTCGGTATGTAGGTGAATCATAACTGATCCCCGAGGATCTCGCCCCAGACGAGATCCGTTATCTAATCATGTTACACTTCATCTCAGGCCCAAGGCCCAAAACAACCCTAAATCACACCAAGGTACGTGCATTACATATACGAGACTACTACTCATGCAAACCCTAACTTTAGCATCAGAGTCTCTTTTGCAGGTACCACCCCCATCTTGGAGCACCAGCGTACCCGTGAAGGAGGCTCACCGATCTTACCTGGCGGATCAGCTCTACAACAGATTTCCTGTAAGAACAATAACTATATGTTTTCAGGCAATTTAGGGAACAAAAAGACGTTACGTCTATTTGACCATTTTCACTAGAAAAATCTTATTATAATATTGTTTAGATTTTAAATCAAAAATACTTAATTTTAACATTTGAGATATTTTTGTATAAGAATTTTAAGAACAATCTAGTTGTCACAACTTGTGCTCTAAAAATTTTGAGAGTCAAAAATGTTACATTCAACCAAACTCTTTCTCTCATTTTACTATTAAAAGGAATCATTATTATTAATAACTGTTTTAACTAAGATGCAAAAGTTTGATTTCATTATATTATTATTAGATGAGAACTTTATTTTCAAATGATTTCATTAATTTTTTTTATCCTTATTTCAATACGGAATTACGTGATTATTATTTGATTCATATTCGGTAAGTCTTACGTTTTCTTCTTATGCTAATCTAACTTTCAGTAATTTTGCACACAAAAAATATAATAAAAAAGGCATGAAAATATATTCTATCCAACCTTGATAAAAGCTAAAAAACAAAACTGCATGCACCCGGTTTACGTGGCTTATGGAAATGTGATATATCCAAGAAAAGAAAGAAAAGGTCATGGACTTGGTGACACGTGATACTGAGCACGATTTTATGCATGGATGAGCACTATAAGGAAAATGATAAATTGCGAGGGACAAATTGCGACGGTTATCTAGAAACTGTCGTCACTTTGATATTGTGACCCTTCATACGACAGTTTTTCAAAATCGTTGCAAAATTGTTTAACATTGCGACGGTTTATCGTAAACCGTCGCAAAATTTGTTTAACATTGCGACAATTAATCATAAACCGTCGCAAATTTTTTTTAACATTGCGACAATTAGTCATAAACCGTCGCAAACTTTTCAACATTGCGACGATTTACTATAAACCGTCACAATCTACAAAACAATGAAGAACTCTACCTTTGGTAAAGAAGATGGAGACTTCTTCGGACAGCTGGAGGATGACGTCTTCTTTTTGGGTGATGAGGATGACGATTGTTGTTGATGTAGGGGACGGATGAGTTGAGGAGTTCCTTGTGGTGGGATCCAGGTTGCCCAAGCTTTTTATGCTAAATCTGGGCTCCATATCTCCCCTTTTTTGATGATGACAAATATAATTAATCAAGGTTGTTTCAGATAAACCTTCAAAACTTGAAGACTTGAAGTGCTTGATTTTAGTTGTAACCTTGTTGTTTATTATGTTATTCATTAAACGTAACTCTCCCCCTGAGTATATACACTAATAATAACTAATATGTCTGATCTTATTAGACCCATTAGTAACATTGATCATAGCAAGCATATCACAAGATTCATTTAGACAATGTCATATGTCATAATAATGAAAAGTGAATACTAATTTTTGTTGAACACAAATTGATTATAATGAAGGAAATTTGTACAATCATAAGAAAGAAATACATTAGATTCTTTTCCCCGAAGCTTGGTTAGTCCTACGCTAGTCTCCCATAGTGATCAAGAAGATGGAGGTGGATCCTTAGAAAGCTTGGATGCAATCAGATTAAACAAGCTATCAAACTTGTTATCTAGGTCTGTTTTGAACCTGTTGAATTCCTCAACCGAGACATATTGTTGTGCTAGTTCAGAGGTAGATGGAAGTACCTCTAGAGGACCAGACGCATAGATTGGTTCAACAGGGATAGGCTCGGACGTGTGTGATTCAGACCGTGCATCTTTGGAAGGGGCATCCCAAGGCATAGGCATACCTAGTTTCCATGGTGGGATGTCCTTGCACCATTTATATTCAACCTTATGCCATGTCTTTGTAAGCCCCTTCCACTCATCTCCGTATAGGTCGAGATTGAAAAAAGAGGAGTGGATGAAGTATCTCTTGATAAGGGCATCAAGATCAGGCCCTCGTCATCTATGAAGAAAGGCAGCAGATGTGTCGTTGAAGTTCATCACTTTACATGGGGTCATCCAGTGATACCCACGCAGCATGAGCATCTTAGCCTTTTCATCGTCTGAGAGACCAGACGAACTAGCTTCCTGTTCGCACTTATGCATAACAGTCTTATAGGCTTACTCCTTTGTAGTGGCAAATCTCAACTTTTGATGGTCTGGGCATTGGTCCCAGATCTAGGCCAGGTTCTTTCATCTTGTTTTGATCAATCAGAGGAAGTCGAGGACAGATTCGGTCAGGATAGACATAAATTTGTGCTTCTGCTGAAGTGTATAGAAAGGGAGGTATGTACAGTTGTAAGGGTATATCTATACATTGGCACAGATGACCTATTGCTGCTCGGTCCGATGCTGAGAGTGAACGGTAGTGATTCATATGTACAGGAATGAATTTTGTTGGTGGATTGAAGAACTCTACCTTTGGTAAAGAAGATGGAGACTTCTTCGGACAGCTGGAGGATGACGTCTTCTTTTTGGGTGATGAGGATGACGATTGTTGTTGATGTAGGGGACGGATGAGTTGAGGAGTTCCTTGTGGTGGGATCCAGGCAGATTTGGACTTGATTACTCCTCTTTACAAAATGTTATATTAATCGAAGATGATTTATTATAAAATAAAATTAAATCTCTGTCGAAAAATTTATATTTTCGATGAGAAAAGTTTTGTAGGAAAAGCTATATAATTGATGGAATATTCAGAAAAATTTATATTTGTCGAAAATGTAAGAACTGGTTTTAAATTTGATATGAAAATATTATGATATAATTAGATAAGATTTTAAGTTAGTATTTTATTAATGGTTGATAATTAAAAAATAAAATAAGGATAAATATATTTTTTGAATTTTATATGTTTGATTTAAGATAACTTACAAAATAACTCTTGGTAAAGTTATTCCGCTCAATAACTCATGGTGTGTGTTGAATTTCATCGATCCAATTAATTGTTAATTTAAAATTTATTAAATTTTACTAATAATTAATATAAAAAAATTAATTAGTTTTGGAATAAATTATTTGCTAATTAACAATATAATTGAAACATTAATTATTTTAAATTATTTAACTAAAATCTTATTGACAATTTACTATATGATCTTAAATATTTTTGTATAACTAATATCTTGTCTTAAATTTGATATGAGAATATTATATATAATTAGATAAGATTTTAAGTTAGTATTTTATTAATAGTTGATAATTAGAAAAAAAATAAGGATAAATACATTTTTTGAATTTTATATGTTTGATTTAAGGTAAATAAATATATTAAATTAATTAATAATTTATTTAAAATATTAAAATTTAATTTATAAGTATGTAATAAATAAATATTTATAATTTTATAAATTATATTATCATTATAAATTATAAAATTAAATAATTTAAATTATAATTTTAAGTAGAAATAAGTAGATATTAATTATAAAAGTAAGTACATATAAATAAAGAAAAACTAAATATTTTATTATTATTATTATTATTATTCGTAATATAAAATTTTATATATTATTATTATAGTACAAATATGAGATTGTATATTTGAGGATGACTTAAATGAATTAATTTGTACAAGTTATACTGACAACATACATATACATTTCGGTAGCTTACTCATCAGAACTTCACAGTTAAGCGTACTTGACCTGGAGTAGTATAGGGATGGGAGACCTTCTGGGAAGTTTCTCAGAAATTGCACAAGTAAGGATAAAACACGCTAAACAGTGAAATATCGTGAAATAGAACCCTTGAGAGGCCAAATATGAGGATTGTTAAATTAATAAATTTATTAAAATTAAAAAAAATTTTATAATTTTCGACGGGTAAAAAAAGGGTCGTAATATTAATTTAGAGGCAGTTGGTGCGACAGTTGATGAAAGGGTCGCAATGTTAATATAGAGGCACTTAGTGCGTCGGGTGCTTCAGGGGTCGCAATTCCAATTTTGCGACGGTTTGTGCAATGGTTTTGATAACCGTCGCAAAATTGCCTTGTGATGGACAATTCTACGACGGTTCCCAAACCGTCGCAATGTTGTCTTTGCGACAGTTCTAACCGTCGCAATGTAGGCCATATAACTGTCGCAAAATCGTCATTTTCTTGTAGTGGAGGTGAATAATATAACAACAAATTAGATGGAAATATTCACGATACAAATGAAACAAAAGTGTAAGCAATAAAAGAGAGAACTTGCGGGCCTGAGGAAA